AGTGATCTCCGACTGGCAATCGAAAATCATTAGATTACGATTAACATTAGCCAGCACTTTTAAATTTGCTGTGATGCTCTGGCTCCCAGTAAACATGTGACTATGGTGGATGGTGTCTCTATTTTCACATTCCGTGTAATAGAATCGCCAACCACTAGGGCACTTTCAACAGGATTCTCAGTGGGTGCGTGACTGAGTGGTGAGAACCTGTTTGATGTTCTAATCGGAACAGAACAGTTGTGCTTTGTCCCACGACTATGCCGTCTCACAGTCACCCAGTTGCCCTGCTGCACGGGATATACAGCCGGAACCGAACAATGTTCGGGGTTCTTTAGGCTAGTTGCATCTAAAGCCCTTGCATTCTTACTATTCTTGATTAAAGTTTGGATGCGTGTCTCTAATTCTGAAATCTTCTCCATCAGCCTGACTTTCTCGCTGCATTTATCACATGTGTAACCCTCACCGCTGACAGAGAAGGCTATACTATATATTTGGCAGGCAGTGCAAGTGACAATAAGAGGAGATGACATAATTCATCGTGTTTGTTTACTGATCCAACTCACCACAGTTGTTTGATGGACTCGCAAAATGCGTGAGAGAAAGAAACGGTAAGCACGGATGGCAGGTTAATAGGCTAGCAAAATGCTAGCGTGTTGTGCTAGCGATAGCGATTTAGATTAAAACTAGCGATGTCCGATCAATGTGACAGACAATATTAGATAATATCAGATATATTATAATGATTAAATTATATTAAGCAATATACATGTCAGCCAAGATAGAACATAGGGTTTTAAAACAAAGCTATACAGAGCTAAAAACGCAATTCTCTCAGGCAGACAGGAAACCGCTCTGCAACAGTGAAAACGGGCCGTCCGGAAACAACTGGAAACAATGTGTGTTCACAAGAGGTCACAAGTTCTAAAGCATTTATTAATCTTAGTTCATGTATATAAGTTACTACTGTGTTCTGTCACATATGCTACTGAGGTTCACCAAATCATTGTTGGGTTCACAGAACAAGCATCAACTGCTGCAATTGATTTGAAGTAGCGGAACATGAATAGTTACAAAAGGGAGGCAATTGTTAAACAAATGCTATAACAGTCAATGTTGACCCATTTCTTTTGTCCTCAACACACAGAGTGTGAATGTCATGTAGTTCAATGTTTTTCTCACCCCTGACCCACATTTGTGCATGCATGGACCCAGGAACATTCCTCCTAGTCTTGTTCATTTCCAACATACTGTAGCTTGTTTTTGATTTATTGGTTCATACATGGAATAGTACTGGAGTCTTTTAGGCTGACTGCTGGTGTCTCGACATGCCAAAGCAAGCTGATTCATGTACAGTACAGCAGTTTTTTTTTTAGAAATTACGATGTTTACAGCTATTCGATTCTTAAATACTAGCGTGAATTTTTGTATTTCCTTACCAACTTGTAGCACTCGGCAAAGCTGTGCTTTACCAATCAGTACAATGCAAGGTGATTTAAAAAAGGCAGAAAATTGCCCCTTTTAAAGGGAGAGTGGCTTCTTTTTACTATCTATAATTTTTTGTCTTTGAACATCGAGGTAACACTTTATAATAACTGCATGCTATTAATCATTTGTTAAGCATGAGTAAACAGTTAATTCGTCATTTATAAAGCATTAATAGACATTAATAAGCAGTTTATAAATACAGCTATAAACACTTTTTTTTCTTGATTTATAAGCATATCTATAATGCGTTTAATAATTGTATTTTCATACTTTGTTAATGATCAATTAATAATTTCTAAATGAAGTATAGCATTATTTATAAACCAGTTATTTAAGAGTTGTCAGTTATTCATAAGATCACTTAGAAAGTGTAAGTAAATGTAGTAAATACAGGTAGTTATAAAGCATTTAGTAGTGGTCAGTTAATTATTTTGTGAGCTAATCTAAAGTGAGGACTATTCATGCCTTGTAAAGCATTTATAGAGGAGATTTAAAGGCGCATCAATCTTCTAAACAGTAAAATGTAACAAACACAACACAGTGATACAGAACATAAAAATATTTAACAGCCTTTAAATCTCCTTTATAAATGCTTTACAAGGCATGAATAGTCCTCACGTTAGATGAGCTCACAAACATAGTTAACTGACCACTACTAAATGCTTTATAACTACCCGAATTAACCCTGAATTACAGCTTAAATACATGTTAATAAAGCATTTATTAACACACTAAGTAACCATCACTATATGTCTGAATAATAAGATGTATGAATGTACATTTAAATAGTTTATTAATCATTTACTTACACGTTCTAAGTAATCTTGTGAACCACTGAAAACTCTTAAATAACTGGTTTATAAAAAATGCAATTAATCATTTAGAAATAATAAATTGATCATTAATAAAGGATGAAAATACAATTATTAAATAAATTATAGATATGCTTGTAAATCAAGAAGAAAGCATTTATAGCTGTATTTATAAACTGCTTATTAATGTCTATTAATGCTTTATGAATGATGAATTAACTGTTTACTCATGCTTAACTAATGATTATTAGCGTGTAGTTATTATAAAGTGTTACCAAAATCGAGTTTATTTAATTTGTTTTTCCATTCTGACAATGTTCTGAATTTGCCAGAAATCTGATTACATCTGCGCTGCAGGGCTGTAATTCACCCTTCATGATATTTATTCTACGTACTATATCTTGTTCTATGATCTAGAATTGACCCCAAAGGAACTTTACATCCTTCTATTATATCTCTTCCATCTCTGGGCAAGTTGCTTGTCTTTTATTTACTTTCAGTTACATTTGCAACTGATGAAGCATTTTTGCCTTCTATATTAGTGCTTGTTAACGGAAGCTTCACTGTTGCTATTTTCTATACTTATGGTTTGGGATTTTGTTGAAGAATGATGTGTTAATACTTTCCTAGATGATTAGACTTGCAGGGACTCAAGTCATATACAGAGACCAAAATATTGTAGGCCATTTTTACACCTGGAATTTACATTGGATCTTCACACAAGATGTGAAGAAAAGGGGAGACATTTTTTAAAGTGCTCTCTTTGGGGAAAAAAAACAACTTCCAAGTATAATCCAGTGAAATTATTACATTAATAATTGTGTATTGTTTTTTTTAAATTGGGAGGCAATCAACCAAGCAAAGCAACCACAACACAACGGATTACAGTAATAACTCAGTCCATCAAAGTGATGTATAGATTAGATTTTAGTATCATTATATTTCACTTATATAGCTGAATGTGGATAACAAAAAATGCATTTGCATTTATACACTTGGGGTCACATGATCCTTCAGAAATCATGATAAAATGCTAACATTTCTTATTATTATCAATGTTGAAAACGTTTCAGGTTACTCATGTAACCATGGTTACGAGACGCTACGTCCCCTAGGGGTCGCTATGGGGAATGCCTCTGGCATTACAGTTGTCTGAAGCATGAGTCTAAACAAACAATGAACTTGACATTGGCAGGCGGCATCCTATGACGTCACCACTGGTGTGACCGTGAGTATAAAAGGGCACCTGTGAAATACGTCATCCACTTCTTGTCTCAAGGAGATGTGTGCAGGAATACCACAAGCATGGCAAAGGGACGCAGCGTTTCAGGACTTCTGTTCAGGAAGCCCTGAAGAGTGGAGGCTTCAAACAAGAGGCCTAGCAACACTCTAACCCAAGGGCAGTACCGAGAAAGCTCAGAAAGAGCTAAAAACTCAGTCTAACTGGCCTGCGAAGCTCCGCAGAGTGGAGGTCTCAATACAATGACTCTCATAATGAAAGGAGACCTAGCAACACTCCACACTGAGGTCAGTAGCCAAAGAGCTTCCCAGAGTGCCTATCAACCTAGCATAATACCTTAATGCCTAGCCGAGCTCTAGGAGCGGAGGCCTCAGCATGTCAACTCTCCAAAAGAAGAGGAGACCTAACAACACCCCACACTCAGGCTATCTTGTAAGGAGGCTCACAGAGAGCCTAAAACTAACAATTGCTTTCCTAGCGGAGCTCTGGGGGAGCGGAGGCCTTAAAAAAAAACTCTATAGCGAAAGGAGGCCTAGTGATGTTCACAGCAGCCAAGGAGGCTCACAAAGAGCCTAATCACTTAGCCTATGGCTGAGCTCATAGGACGAATACACTATGTCCAGAAAAGAAAAAGCTCCTTGCCTGTCTACTGTTGTCAGTCTTGTGTACATATCATACCTAGCGCATCCCGCTTCTTAGGAGAGTTGACAGCATTCCACCCAAAAAACAAAACAAAAAAACACATCCCTCAAGAATAGGGACGGCACGAGCAGAGCTTTTCATTGAGAAATCCTCGCAATGCGCACAAACACGCATGCTCCTCACACATGTACAAACCAACAGTCTCCTGAAGTCAAGAAAGAGGATGATGTATTTCACAGGTGCCCTTTTAGAATCAGTCACACCAGTGGTGATGTCATAGGCTGCTGCCTGCCAGTGTCAAGTTCATTGTCGTGTTTAGACGCATGCTTTAGACACCTGTCATGCCGGAGGCAATCCCCATAGCGACCCCTCGGGGAAGCAGCGCAACAGTTATTTTATTAATAGAAAGAGCAACATTTATTTGAATTTTTTTTTTTTTAACAACGAAAAACATCTTAACTGTCACATTTGATCAATTTAATCCATCCTTGCTTAATTCAAGTTTAAACAAATCTTTTAAATAGTAGTGTTCCAAATTAGACCACCAAAAATGTGCCTTGGGTGCATTTTCACCGGGCTTGTATGGTGGACAAGTCTGATACACTTGCATCAAAAGCATGTTTGTCCCATGCGTAAACAGAGACATAGAGTGCCTTTGCTTAAGATAGTAAGCAACACCCATGCACTCACAACATTCTAGTAATGACATCAGTAAGAAAAAAACACTCAGTACATATTATCAACCACATAGCAACACCCTAAAACCACCCTGAAGTACCATACATTTAAACATTTACATTTGTCTTCTGTCCCCCCTATAGATAAACCTTGGCTCTCCGTCCTCATACAACCAGCTAAAGAAGCGGAAGGCTCCAGCACCTCCACCCACACCGCCCCCCAGTACACCCGAGCCAGTTATTTCCACCTCTGTGCCTACTGCACCTGTGCGGGCTCCCTGCAACCCCTTGCCAGTTGAAAAGACCCTGCTGCCTTCTCCCAGAGCCTCAACTCCAGCTGATGACTCTGATCTAAGCCATAGTATTGAGGATTCAGAGCCGGCCAGGTCCATCTGCAGTAGCTCCAGCGGTGATGATGCAGCTGCAGGATCCAGTAGCAGCAGTCTTGCTGAAGAACCTATCACACATCAGGCTCATGTGATAGCTGCATACACCACATCTTCACTAGAACCTGAACCAGAGCCTGAGCACAAGGAAGAAGCAGCTCCTCTCACTATGCCAGAACAAAAACCAGGTCCAAGTTCAGAGGATCCAACACCCGAAGACCCAGTGCTAGAGATGGAGCTAAAAATGGAAGAGATGGAAAATAACCGTAATAGTGGAATAGGTAATGTAACAATCTGTTCCTGGAGATATCCATAAAAAAATTAATGTAAAATGCAGTACTGTTAACAGAAACTAGCCAAAGTATTAGCTTTAACTTTTCCAGCATTATTATTGCTCCTTAAGCTGGCAAATTGCAGATGCTGTTCAACACATGACCTATAAATGGAAAGATAATGTTAAATTGACACCAGAAGCTGCATGTCTAAAAGCGCATGCTGAGTTTCACATCAACTCACTCACTCACTCACTCACTCACTCACTAACACTTAATTGTTTAATATTGAATCTAGAGTTTTAGAGGGGGAACAACAGGTAAACAAGACCAGTATATCGAGTTTCAGCTCCAGGCCAACTTTATAACACGTCACTGATTTCTGAGAGCACAACATACCAGCCCCCGGCCAAGATGTCCCTGGTAATATACACTAAACAGTTTTCAACGTACAAATAAAGGCCAAAGTATACTTTGTTTTTTTTTTACACATTCAGTAAAGTATGCGTATAGTGTGTGTGACAAAATTCTGCCATCAGCATAGTGTGTGCACACCATATACACATAGCCCACATTTTTTTTACCTGCGCATACTCCATACACTCAGATCACACATGCGCATTGATTATTTTTTTTTTGTGATACTTAGTTCTTCCACTAGTTGGCCATTGTTTGACTGTTGTAAAATGAATGTAAGAGGCGGAAAAGTAACAAAAGCACCCAGAGACCGCAACAACTATAGACGCCTGCATTGACGTTTGTGTGACTATGACATTTTATCAGTCATGACTTCTGGAAAGAAATATCACAGACACTGGTTTATATTTTGCTGTTATGCTGCTGTTGGTGTTTCTTTGTCGGGACACAAACACTGTACACACGCTGCGTGGTATCGGTTGTTGGTATCAGAGCATTTTAAAGGTGCTCTAAGCTAGGCCTGTAGCGGCGCGTCGATGACGTCGACGCTTCGACGTCAAAAATTCGTCGACGTCATATTTTTTTGTCGACGCTTCTTTATTTATTTATGTATTTATTTTTTTGCACCGTTCCCGGCGGTACAGCTCGCCACACACACGTGGGAGACCGAAACATTGCAGAATCGAGGACGAAACAGCAACCTCTTCACAGAATTCACAACAAAGCCATGCAAAAGTCCCAACAAAAGAAAAAGTCCTAAAAAAACCCAGCTCGCAGTAAATCATCGAAGGTATGGGAATACTTCAAATTTAGTCCCAAACGTAAAGGTGTCGTTATTTGCGCTCTTTGTCAAATGGAGTTGACATCCCAAGTCTCCCGCATAGTGATAGCGGCTCCCTGATGACCGCAAATTAGTTAAAATCTCCCGGAATCTAGAGCTCGCGAGCTCCAAACCGTGTAGCGCGCGCAGCGAGGGAGAGAGCGAGAGACCTTGCGCGTGTGTGTGCAAATGTGCGTGTGTGCCTTATGAAGCGCATGTAAACCCCACCCCCGTCAACAAAATCAGTCCGGATGTTTTTTATGAGCACTGAAAACATTAAAATGAGCACCACATCCAAGTGTGATAGGGCTCATTTGAGTAGCCTACCAAACATTTTACAGTGTAGATACTCTGTAAGAACCAGATCAAAATTGTTGTGCATTGAATGTGCACTCCTGCAATTTCCATGTTACAAAAAAGAATCGTTCAATTAGTCGTTAGATTAGTCGACTAATCGATAAAATAATCGACAGACTAATCGTTTAATTAATAATCGTTTACCCCAGCCCTACTCTAAGCGATCTCACACGTTTTTTAGGCCAACAATTTTTTGTCACATACAGCAAACATCTCCTCACTATCCGCTGGCTGCCTGTCCCCTGAACACACTGTAAAGAAACGCGGTCTCTGCAGACACCCCAGGCTCCACAATTGATGTTTTATTAACAAGGTTCGGGAGGAAAACGTTCTAATGATCAAACAATCAAGTCATTCCAGCCAGCTGTCAGCAATCAGTAATCAACAGGTCCACTCAATCAGCACGAGTAAAGCCTAGAAATATACTCAGTCGACTCACCCATATTCCTCGACAGTTTTCAGCATCCCTCCACCACCCCATCTCCTCACACTTGCCTAGTTATCTTCCTAAACAGAGATACGGGGGGAGTACTCTGGGTTCGGGCCCAATTTCCGAGCTCGGAGCCCTCCCCCCGGACAGCACGCCAAATACGCATAACCATCTATTCTCTGATCATTTGTAAGTGTGAACTCGTGAAACAGCAACAAAAACAAACTGCGGCGACCCACTCCCCGAAACATAACAAACTGTTCCAGCCAATGACCGACAAGAAGGGTTTGGGGGTGTGGTTTGGGGGGTTAGTGTGCGGATGAGGAGGAGGGAGGGTCTAGCTAGCCTCCGTTTTGTTTGACAATAGTTTGAACGTCAACAAGAAGTGACGTCACCCAGGATCGCTTAGAGAACCTTTAATTAGTAGTGTCAGAGCGCAGTATCGGGTGCATCCCTAGTATTTAGGTTTTGAATTTTAGGACATTTATAACATCATATATTTGCATATTCATTAAGGTTAATAACATTGATTGGAAAACAGCATGAAACACAACCTGGTTTATTAACAGCTTGTCTATCTTTGGATGAAATATTGAATATTTAATGGAATGAGCGTTGGTTAGTTTATGATTGCTTGTTTGTTGCTAAACAAGTTGGCCTAACATTCGAGCACCGCATTGTTTCACACGTTATACATTTAAGGGTTACTGTAGCACCTGACTTCAGGGTTGAATGCAGTGCCATTTTAAAATAGTTGGTGTAAAATGCTGCTTAACCCAGTTGCCTTAATGGGTTAAACCCCAGAGGACAGCATAAAGGTAAAATACCATTTTCTCTTTCCTTGTCTCTTATTTCCACTCTCACTGGATCAAACCAAAACACAGTGAGCCACATTCCCAGCTTCTTTTAACAAGGAATACTTTATGCAGTATATGTACTGTAGATATTTCAGCAAGCTTTTTAATGCAAGCAGATCGAGGGAACTGTAAATAGAAAAATAACGAATGGATATGAATCTAAATATAATTCAATTTAATAACATTGTTTAAAATATTTAGGACAGGATTAAGAATAGTCAGCATAGTAAAAAAAAAAAACTCTTTAACACAGTAGATTTTATAATTCATGTCCATTTCCCTTTCACTTTTGTCATGACTGACTCAAAGCCGTGACAAATGAATGGAGGACATAATGAGTTGGTTTGCAAAAATTTATTTGCAAGACATTTATTAACATAAATAGAAAAATATAATAAAAACTAAAACTGTCACGGGTGGTTGCAGAAAGACAAAACAAGATGAAGGTATCTTTTCAACACAAAGGTTTAATGATGATCAAAAATATAGGACAGCAGAACAGGCAGCAACACGCACTATATACAACTGAGATCAGACAAAGACTGACTGACCAGACGGAACTTAAATGCAAACACAGATGACATTGATTAACAGAACACAGGTGATACAGCTGAACTGACAATGACAGTGAAGATGACATGTGAATTCCAGCAGACAAGTCCAAATGAAAACAAACTAACCCAAACACCACTGTGACAAAAACATGGTCATCTGTAGTGTCTGTCTGGTGCATGGATGTTAGTCTATCAAAGATAGAAAACTAAATACTCCAAAACAAATAACAAAAGCAAGTAACAAACAAACAAAGCCAAAATCAAACACAAATCAACCAGAAGCAAGCTCTTTCAACACTAGCAAAGCCTAACCCCTTATTTACACTGCACAGTGCACACGTCTGCGGCGCGTTACGGCTTCGACGAGGTTTTGTTCCGTCCTCCATGTGGTGCCAACCATAGGGTGCACACCAGGAGCATTTCAGAACCAAAACCAAATGGATGCGCGAGACCACGTGATTTGCCTGTCCGACGTGTTTTTTCTTGATTTTTGGGTTTCTACGTCTATGGTTTCTACCAAGGATATATTGGCGTGCAATACAATGGAGTCTGCACATGGTGTTTATTTTGAAATTGACAGTGTTTTTTTACTTTTATTTTGTATTCGGTGCGGCTTAGACGCGGCGTCCGTCGAAAATAGACTCGGCGCCTATCTTTAGCGAAACGGCGCAGAGAGCCGCTTCTGAAACGCGCCGCATCGCGGCTGGTGTAAACACAAGCATTGACTAGAGGACGCGATCAGCTCCGGTATCCGTGTCCAGGGGCGTAGCAGCCATTATAAAAGTGGGGGGGACAAAATGGTGTGGTGATGTGACCCAAAGGTCAGTCCTTCCAGAAAAATGCGGAGTTTTTTTGTGATTGTTGCGGGCAAAAATCCTTGATTATGCGGCGATGGAATATGCAGGATATTTGCAATTTTATGTGATGAAATTGCGGGAACTTACAAAAACTGCGGTTTGATGAAAAAGAGAGAAAAAGTGATTCCCCAACACCCTGTTCTCACTAGGCTACTACCTTAATGTAAAGAGCTATTTCTTATTACTTCCTATGATAAGCAAACATACTACATCACAGAAAGTGCTGGAATATTTAATCTTGTTTTATTTCAGACCTTAATAAACACATGGCTCAAACTTACAAAACATTGATGAGTCAAACAAGTTCTGTAGCTTTACAAAAGGAATATGCTACAACTTCAGTAAAAATGAATAAATAAAATATGAAAAAAATGTTTCCTGTTTTACAGTTTTTTTTTTCAATGATGTTTATGTCGCGTAATTACGTCACTTCATAACGTTCCCATGGCAACAGGGGGAAACGGCTGCTCTCGTGTGAAGCAAACGCAACATTTTTCAACTTTCTGCTAAGATATATGTGACTTTTTTTTGCAACAAAAATGCGGGGATTATGAAATCATACAAGCCCCGCATATTCTGCGTGGAAATCGGCAATTTATACGGCAAAAGTGCGGCGTAGGCCTATTTGAAAAAATGCCCCCGCATAAATATGCGGACTTTGGCTGATTATTGAATCATGCGATCGCATAATCGCGTTTTTCTGGAGGGACTGAAAGT